TGAAATGTGGTAACTGCCCTGGAGCTGGCTGGGAGAGAGGTACAGGTTAGTGATGATTTTTGTTCCACATGGATCTTTGACAGAAAATTTAAAGCAGCATTCTTATGTCGAATATAAAGACATACATGCATTCTCCTGGCCGGATGGATGGTTGAGTAGAGCTGCTTACTAAGGCTGTGATTGTAAGTGCAGGTCATGTGAGCCATAATGGAGGCTAAGCCTTCTGGTGCCATGGGAGGACATGGGTTAGGTTAAATCATATCCAGGTAAAAGTTTACTTCCTTTTTTCTTTTTCCATTTCCTGGTGCTGGGATTAGAGCCAAGGCTTTGTGCATGCTAGGCAAGTATTCTACCACAGAGCCTCAAAGGCCAGTTTCTCCTGTAACAGAGTGGCTCTTGGAGTTAAGCTTGGTCTGGTGCCTCATTTATTTAAAGCAAGGCCCTTCATCAACTGTGTTGTGCATGATACTCCTTCATGATTCTTACCTTGGAGGAACCGTGTCCTTCTGTTCCATAGCACAGCCAAATGTGATAAAGGAGACAGCCATGGGGCCTCATTGCTACTTTTCAGCAACTCAGGCCTGCCCAATCTTCATACTAATGTAAACAGTGCAGCCAGGGAGAGAATGAGCTTGAGAATGCTCGCATTCTGATCCGCATTTCTTACATGAGTTGCTAGAGGAAACACTTATAATTCTGTTTGTTTCAAAAATGGAATTCCTGTAGAAAGGTCACTGAGCTGTCAGCCCTGTCATTTTTAACCCCTTATCCCAGGGCTCATCTGCAGCATGTCAGGTCTGGCTTACTGCCCTGGCCATAAAAGGCAAAGAATGTGGAAAGCCCTGCTCCCTCAGCACTTCATCCCCTGTGCCATGTGCTCGAGTTCACAGTGTCAGCCAGGGATGTTAATGCCCTTTCTCCTGGAGTTTGTGGCTGTGAGGCAAGACTCCAAAGCTTTGTCAGGAGCATAAATCCTAGGCATTATCTCAGAACACACCTTAGGCTGCCTACATGTGAAACATTTCTTGGCAGCCACAGAAACCCTGGAAGCTTATCATAGCCCCTGGGTTTTGACTCAGGTGGTGGCTGTAGGTTAGGTGTGACTTGACTGATGTTTGGTGGGCAGGCTGGCCGCAATAGCTGGGGCTGAAGTGTGCCCGAGTGGGAGGACAGGGTAGGGCTTTGGAGTTTGCCTTGGCTTCTTGGGGGAGGGGGGTACATGTAAAGGAAGAGGGTAGCAAAGGCCTGGGAGTTGTGTCTAGGAGGAAGCTGCAGGAGAGAACACAGCTGTCAGGGCACTGCAGAAGCAGCATCCTGGGGTGTGCATGGTGTGGCTCCTAATTTCTCAATAGCCTAGACCAAGCAGGGAGGCATGGATGGTAGGTCAGGCTCACACACAAGCACCGAGTCTCTAAACAACTAGCCTGTGCTTCTGTCCGCGCCCTGTTAGAGTGGCTCTTGTGCTAAAGAGAAGAGGAAAGCTCCACCTTCTGGAGTCATTTCACTTCAGTGGGCCTCTTCATAGGGAGCTGGTCTGAGTGCTGTCGGAGCCACTGTGCTGTGGCTGTGAAGAGACACCCTGACCACGGCAGCTCTTAAGAGAGAAAGCGTTAATTGGAGACTTGCTCACATTTTCAGAGGCTTAGTCCATTGTCATCTTATCAGGGAACATGGGGGCACATGACGCTGGAGCAGTAGCCGGAGCTATCTCCTAATCCGCAGGCAGAGAGAGAACTGGGCATGGTGTGGGCTTTTTAAACCTCAAAGCCCACCCCAGTGACACACTTCCCCCACAAGGCCACACCTACTCCAACAAGACCACATTTCCTAGTCCTTCTCAAGTAGTGCCACTCCTTGGTGACCAAGCATTCAAATATATGAGCCTGTGGGGCCATTCTTATTCAAATCACCACAGGTGGCTTTGTGGAAGTGGGCAGGAGTTGCCAGGGGCACTTTTTTTCCAAGGGAGTCTTTTAGCAACAGCTTAAGGACCACACACTGCCAGGAGGAAAGGCTGGCTTGTACGCTGTGAAGTGAGATTCTTAGAGTTCCTGAGCACTTGTTGTCCCTGCTCAGAACCTGAGAAAACTGAGAAGGCAGCTAGTGGCGGGGGGTGGGGGGTGGGCGGCACTGTCCTGCCTGGGGAGCATCAGAACAGAATTGGAAGTGTGGGCTGAAGTTGCACTTGGGCTAGTTTTGCTTGGGCTTGTTCTTGAATGTTTTGTTAGTACATGATAGCATTTATAGTTGACTTTATTTGGAAAGCCCGACTCTTCACATCTGCTCAGTGACCTGTAAGACAACAGCTACAGCTTGACCTGGTCACCTGTCAGTCACTAAGCTGGATCCTTCTGTGGGGCCCTTATTCTAAGGCAGTCAGCAGTCTTGACTTGTGTTTGGGAACTCAGAGGCTATCCCTGCTCACCCTGTTGATTATTTAAACCTCTTGACCTGCTAGGTCTTTGATTTGTTCTGCTTTTGAGACAGGATCTCTCTGTTGCCCAGATTGGCCTTAAGTTTGTGATCCTCTTGCCTCAGCCTTCCAAGTGCTGTGATTAGTAATGCATCATGTCCAGAAAAAGACCATTGGCTTGATGCCTTTGACAAATGTCACTTAAGTGTTGGTGCAAGCAAAGGGAGGGGACCTTGGCCTTGGAGAGCCCATGCTTGAAGGTAGCTTCCATTGCAGGAGTGAAAGTGCTACCTGAAGTCAAGTTTGAAGAAGATTTCTATACCCATGTTTGTTCTTTGTGAACTGTACTGGGCACTGTGGGGTGTGGTGGGTGTGGAGTGAGAGGCATATAGGTCCAGAGCTTTCCGGTTTGATGGAAGAGTCTTCATTAATAGTTGACGTAAGCCCTTAAGCTTGCCTCCCTAGTGTACCTAGGTATTTGGCATTGAAGATCTGAGAATTACTGCTGCCTGTGGTGATGCACGCTTTTAATCCCAGCACTCAGAAGGCAGAGGCAGGTGGATCTCTGAGTTTGAGGCTGGCCTGGTCTACACAGTGAGTTCCAGGAAAGCAAGAGCTATATAGTGAGACTCTGTCTTGAACTCACCTACCCCTGCCCCCCAAAGAACTGAGAATTAAAGGAAGAGCTTCGTGGTAAAGGCTATGTCTGCACTTTGGGAAGAAGGAAACATGTCTTAAACAGGATGGTACAGGCAAAAACATGCTAACCCCTGACCCCTGAGTCTTAACCAGTACTGTGTGTGAGGCTCCTCTAAGAAAGTCTTCAAGCAGCATGGGCCCGGCCTCAGGAACTTCCTTATTCTTAGAAAATGCATTGTGGGGGAAAAATAAGCCTCTAAGAGTCTCTAAGCCTCAGACCCCACATAGCCCAGTGGTTTCCCATATAGATGTATCAGAGGTATTTGTGAGTGGAGGACAGAAAAAACTGTCCTGTTTCTCTCACTGGGAATCATAGTGTACAGGACTGTGGAAGTCTGATGTGACTGAGGTGAGTGAACATGCAGCAGCTTCTGGGATCTGCTCACCCAGCATGGGAGGTCTGTAGAGCAAAGGTTTGGGGGGGGACGACACCTCTTCCCTAGGCACTAAGTAGATTTTCTGAGGCAGGTGGAGCTCAGCCAGTAGGTAGAGGGGCAGAAGCAGCCTTTGCTAGGACCAAGAGAAGCGGGGGCGGGGGGAGGGGGAGTCCTGAGGGAATAGACTATATGGACAGTGGTCTGTGCAGAGGGGCCAGGAAGGGGAGAATGAGTTTGGAATCAGTGACAATCAAATGCTTTGGGCACTGAGCAGTTGTGGGGATGGTGGGGCAGGCACATTGTACTGTAACTGGAAGCTTTTCTGTTTCCCGCCTGGCCCTACAGCAGCTTATAAAATAATCACTCAGAGGCTTAATATTAATTACAAACTGTTTGGCCTATGGCTCAGTCTTATTGCTAGCCAGCTATTACATCTTAAATTAACCCATTTCTATTCATCTGTGTGTCACCACATGTCTCGTGGCTTTTCCTGTGTTCCATTACATCTTGTTCCTCTGGCAGCTCACAGCGTCTCCCCTGACTCTGCCTTTCTTCTTTCTGTGTCTTTGCTTGGATTTCCCACCCGGCTATAACCTGTCTTGCCATAGGCCAAAGCAGCTTCTTTATTAACCAATGGTAGCAACACATATTCACAGCATACAGAAAGACCATCCCACAGCATTGTACCTTATCAGTGGGAGGGTATGGGGGGACTAGACTCTGGAGGTAAGGCTGGCAGCATTCCTAGAGAAACTAGCACAGACTCCTAGGAGGCCCTTTCAAGGATTATGGCAGTAAAGGGGTCTTGGATCCAGGTGGTGACAGGTGGGTATTTTGATCATGTGGAGATCTTGTTTATGAGTGATCAGTCTGCTGTGATCTATAAGCTTTTAACACAAAAATTGTGTAATGTAAATATTTTATAATGATTTGTCTAGCTTTGTTGAGAGCAGTGGTTCTTAACCTTCCTAATGCTGTGATCCTTCAATGCGGTTGTGGTGACCTCCAACCATACAGTTATTTTCATTTCTGCTGTTAAGAATCTTAATGAAGGGCTGGAGAGATGGCTCAGCCATTAAAGGCTAGACTCACAACCAAAAATATAAGAATCTTAATGAAAATATTTTTGGAGATAGGAGTTGTAATCCACATGTTGAGAACCACTGGTGTAGATGAAGCCCTCAAAATCTCAAGAACATGTAAACACCTGTATTTTTATACAACTGTTTAGGACCAGTTAAGAGAATACAAATATGTCACTGCTTTTTACTTCCCAACTTCGTGTGCTGGGCTGGGTGTTCTTCCACAGGCTCTCAGCAGGTTGGCAAACTGGTTGTTTCTTTAAGAAGCTGGCCCTTTGGGTGGTTGGTAGCTGCAGTGTGGTGATAGACCGCAGGAGCAGGGCCTGTCTGTTTGGGGACTGCAGAGCAGTGGGTGGGACTGGCTGACTTGGCCTGTTGGCTAGCCCAGCCGCCTGCACAGTGTAACCCAGTGTCTCCCTTGTCTTCTAGGAGTATAAACAGAAGCTCGCACGAGTAACCCAGGTCCGCAAGGAACTCAAGTCCCACATTCAGAGTTTGCCAGACCTCTCGCTGCTGCCCAACGTCACAGGGGGCTTGGCACCTCTGCCCTCTGCCGGTGACCTCTTCTCAACTGACTAGGACAGGTGTCATGCTCCAGGTTCCCGTGTTTGCCAGAGAAAAGCAGCAAGTCACTGTTGGAGACAGCCGTTTGGCCCTGGCTCCATCTCTTCAGCCAGCATCTGCCTCAGGAATGAAGCAGGGAACCCTGACTTCTCACTCTCCGGCTCCCTCCTGAGCACAGTTCTGAACCGTGCAAATGGACTCAGTTTTGACTCGTGTTTGCTAAGAACACTGATTCTCCCTCCACTCATGTTCTCATGCCCCTGTTGCGTTTCCATTCTTAGCTCCCTCTTACACCCATAAGCCATGAAAATCATGTGTATTTCCGGAAGCTTTCAAGAGAATCTTGCCCCAAGTGACAGCACATGTCATGGAAGAGCCTCTTTCTGAGCTGGGCTTGGCCAGGTTCAGAACAGGCTCCCAGTGAGGGACTCAGGCTCAGGTTGGATCTCCTGGCTACCATCTGCCCACGAGGTTGGCAGCACAGCCGTTAGGCAGTTTGCCAAATTGCTGACCCTTCCTGACCCAACTACTAGAGAAGTGTTGTCAAGGTTAGGTGTGTTTGTTTTTCAAGCAATCTAGAGAATCTAGTAATAAGATTCAAAGCTGACCTGGGACATAAAGTCACAGTACAGGTACAGAGTGACAGGGATCACAAGTCATTTGCCTGGTTTTCCCCACAGCTTTCCCATGCCACACTTCTCAAGGGTCCCCAGTATCAGAACACCTCCCTAAAGCAGGGCCCTCTGGCCTCTGGTGCTGTGAAGGCAGCTGTCCGGGTTGGCATGCCCTCGCCGGTGGAGTCTGGGCTTTTACCCGTCTTTTGGGGACTGGAGTATACACTGACTCCACCATGTGGGCATTCATCCACTGTATGGTGACTAAACTTGATCAGCTTTGCAGATAGGACACTGAGCACACCAGGCACTTCATGCCACTCTGTGCGTCCATGTTCCCATGCAAGGAGAAGAGTATTCATACAAACAACTCACCTCCAGCAGAGGAAGGGAACATAGGGAGACTAATTTGGGGTTCTAATTCCATTATCATGCCAGCTGACATTATGACTGAATGATGTAGTTAGGATTTTTATCTTACGTCTAGTAAAGTTCAGGCATAGACCTGAAAAATCATTCTAATCTGGCAGGCTTATTTTTGACATTGGAAAGGGCAGAAGCCATTTTGCCCTACTAGTGTGATAGGAATTATAACCCGAAGCTGAAGTCCAAAGGCCATAAGAAGGAATTCAGTGAAGGGGGCCTGAGGAGCTTCATTGTTTGGAGTTGCTGTTTTCAGGATCACCCAAACAAGCACACTTTTTTTTACATGTTAAAACAAGCCTGTGTGTCACCAAGTCGGCAGCCAGCAGTCTGGGCAGCCCGCAGTCTGAGAAGCCGTCCCCTGCTGTAAGGTGACAGTGGTGGTACTGAGTTCCCGTTAGAGCCTGGTCTTGTTGGAGCCGTTGTTCTGAGTGCAGGCTGCCGTTCGTTCCCTCGCTCACTCTGCCCGTTGTTCTGTCCACATTGTTTTCCCCAAGGCTACAGGACAGCACTGACTCAGTGAAATCCCAGTCTCTGCTGTGGGACACCTCCCCACACGGGGTGCCACTGGAATGTCACGTGGCCACACCATTTTTCAACACCTTCCTCAGACACTGCTTTCCCACAGCCCCAGACCACAAGAGCTGTAGCAGCTTTTCTCTTCTCACTAGGAGAAAAGACGAGAACATAATGGATTGAGCTCACGGCTGTGTTTTATCCTTCGGCATCTCTGACTAGCAATCAGTGCATAATTCTTACAGCAAGATCAAGAAGTGAACCTGTGGCAATTATGTACGTGAATGTGTTGGCCTCCTAACACCTGCTCCAGCAGACTAACTGTGAGCAAGTTGGTTTCGTTTTAATGAAATGCTTCGGTTTTTAACCTTCCTTGTCATACCCCACCCTCACCCCCGGTCTCCCAGCTGTGTGCTTACTTCCCTTGTTTAATTTAAATGAAACTTCTTGTCCCTGAGAGTTGATCTGGAGGGTGGGGTGGGTGACTTCTGGTTTTGTGTTTATTTAGGACATTCATAGGCCTCAAGGATCTTTCCTTTAGGGTCATATTCCTCAGAAAGTCTTCAGTCTTTCTTTGTTTTTGTTTTTCTTAAAGGATATTTTTAAAGCTTAAATTTGTATATTAATTTAGGACTTTATTTAGAAGTATAGGCTGCCATTGGTGACAGCAGTATATTCTGAAATGTCTCATAGATATATATTTTTGAATAAAGATGGTGTTGTTGAACAACATTATGTGATGTTTCTTCTCCCTGCCTTGTGTAGTGGTTAGTGATCATCCATGGAGAACGCTCTGTCTGCACAGACTCTCCCCCTTGGGGCTGTTAGTGGCACAAACATAAAATAATAAGATGAACTTCTTTTCAGTTCTTTCTTGGAGCTTGATTGACCAGTTAGCAGTCCACACTGCAGAGAGAGCCAACTACATTTCATCCTTGTGCAGGAGTGGAGACTGGCAGAGAGCAGCTAGTGACTACCCCCAGCACACCGGCAGCTTGGGAGGTCCTTGGCTGCAGCATTTTCATTCACACTGCCAGGCCTCATGGGAGCTGTTTGATTTGCAGTATGGTGGAGCTGCTGTAGGAAACGTGCAAAATAATCAAAACACCATCTTTTTAAAAGGTTTTCATTGGTTTCCGTTCCAGTGTTGACACCCAGTGGAAGACCTGGTGACTGGGTATTATTGGTTAAAACTCAAAATAATAAAGAAGGCCTTGGAAACAGGGTGCCCTGAAGCAGCCGATGTGTTTGGAAGATGGTTATGATCTTCCTAAGTGATGGTGGTGTTACCTCCCAGGTGTGGGCTTACGTTTCTGTCATGATGCAAGAGACTTTAGTAACTATGGTCCATCAAGACTAACTACAGCTAAAGTCCTATTCGTTGCCAGGAAAGTTGAGACTACATATTACCTGCAACCTTTTCCCCCCTTAGATTTTTTTTTTAATGTATGTGAATTTTGCTTACATGTATATATGTGCACCATGTGCATGCCTGGTGATTGTAGAGCCCAGAAGAAGGCATTGGATCCCTTGTGTGCTGGGGATCAAACCTGGGTCCTCTGCAAGAGCTCCAGCGACTCGACTGCCGGCCATCAGTCTAGCTCTTCGCCAATCCTCACCCTATGTTCTGTCTTAATAAAACCTGAGTGTAAAATGTGAATCTCAGTGGATAGGGTCTTCTGTGTCCCAGCTTTCACGATCTTGTTAATTCCTTCACTCCTTCCTATAAATAGTATGTCCATAATTCTCTGTTGATTTTAATTAGTACTTGAGACTACAACATGGCTCTGGGTCCTCACAGCTGGAGATGGAGTTGACGAATCTGCCAAAACACTTACCTTGGGAGATTAGAGCCATTAAGTCCATGTGACCTCTCTGGGCTGGGTACCTTCCTCCCAGGGCCTCGGTTTTCTCATCTCTGAGCTGTATGGTACTAGATCGTTCCCAGGCTCTCTGCTCGCCCTGAAAGCGGAGGGTAGTTGTTGCCTGCATCACTTTTGAGAACTCTGGGTAGGATGTCCTGGGATGCCGGTAATAGAATGAAATAAGTGAGTAGAGTCCCAGACCTGCTAGACAGGCTTCCATGACAGACACCTTGGAGATTTGGGTCTACAGGAATGAGGACCAAATGACATTGCCAAGGCCAGGAAGGTGGGTGAGTGCTTGTGACTTGCCAGCTGTCAGCTGCATTGGGTTTATTTGGGTCTTTTAGAAAAAGCCATTTTCTGGCCTGGTTTTGCTCTTTCTCCTAGAATAATTTATCTGACTAAACTTATTTCTCTCCGCCTCTGTGAGGTTTTCCATTTAAAAATCATTCTTCCATTCTCAGGCACAGATTCAATTAAGAATCCATTATTCCCCTGCACAGTAGGTTGGATTCATACAGCTTTATGCAGTGTTGAAAGCCCAGTTTGTTCAATTTTTTAGACCAAAATAGTTATTTTGCATTAAAAATTCATTCCTACCACTGGTTTGATAAATATTAAAATTAGCATTATGAATCAATTCATCTTTTTTTTTTTTTAAACAAAGAGGTGGCTTTGAAAAGTGCTAACTATCTTGTCTCGCGCTGTGATGACCTTAGGTAGGTGTCCTAGTCACTTAGGCCCTTGGCTGCTTTTCACAGGAAACGAGTAGGTTGCCCAAGTAACTGCTAAGGTCCTTTCAAGGTCTGAAGTTATGCCTGGGCTTCCAGAGCATTTTTGCCTACTGAGAATCTTCCTAGTGAACTCAGTGCCTGCATAATGCCCTCCATAGGTTTTTAAATGCTGGTTATCTGCATGAGTTCTTAGTTATGAACTAGATAGGGCAGTTACAAACATACCTATTGATAACATTAAGCACAATGTCAAATGGGATTAGTGCCAGGGTCTGGGACACATGAGCTCAGTCACTGTGTAAAATGATACATGTAGGTATTTATATGCATGTGTGATGAGAGGTTACAAGTAAGGTGTGTTGGAAGGCTATATACCATAGGTGGTACTTATGGAGGAGGGGGTCAAAACCCCATACCCCTTTAACCCCCCCCTCCCAGGGGTGAGGCATTAGAACCAAAGGAGGATATCGGGGTGAGGATTCCTTCAAAGAGCACCGCTGGTCAGTGTGTGGAGTCTCCCACCAGGGAGCAGTGTGTGCCAACAGCCTCTCCCCCAAGACTGAGATATGAGGCCTCCATGAGCTGAGTGGGCCCTGTAGGGTGGCAGTCTAGTGGACTATGATGACTCCTGCCTGGCAAAAACTAAATTATATGGTGCTAGTAGCTAGCTGGTGTAGGAGGTTGTTTTTACTCTCTACTCTGGGGTGCTGCCACCTAGTTCCCAAATAAATCACACGGAGGCTTCTTCTTTTTTGTGAATGCCTGGTTTTAGCTTATCTTGTTTCTAGCCAGTTTTTCTAACTTAAATTATTCCATCTACCTCTTGCCTCTGGACTTTTATCTTTCTCTATTCTATATTCCTTTCTTCTTAGTCTGGCTGTTTGTGTAGCTGGGTGGCTAGCCCCTGATGTCCTCCTCTCCTCTTCTGGCTCCTTGATCTTCTCTTCCCAGATTTCTCCTTCTATTCTCTCTGCCTGCCAGCCCCACCTATTCTTTCTCCTACCTGACTCTTTTCCATTCAGCTCTTTATTAGACCATCAGGTGTTTTAGACAGGCAAAGTAACACAGCTTCACAGAGTTGAACAAATGCAACATAAAAGAATGCAACACATTTTTGTATCATTAAACAAATGTTCCATGCATAAGTAAGTGTAACACATCTTCAACTAATATTCCACAACAGCCTAGGGGCACAGATGAGGATCAAAAAAAAAGATGTGCCCCAGCCTGGTGAGGCCTCCACTCCTGGGGTCTGTGAGGGTAAAGTGGAGGAGAGCAGTGGTCACAATCTAGCATGTTCTGTCAGGACATACTGGGTAAGGACCATGCATGAACTAAGAGCCAGGGAGAGGGTATCACTCTGAGAGAGGCTGCGGTGGGGTGAACATGGGGGACTGGGAGAAGAGTGTGAGAACACTCCAGAGAAAGTTGTGGAGCCTTGGCCAACCCAGGTCATGTCACAACCCCCCAGAAAGGGCTGTTTCTTGCTTCTCCCTCCCCTGACACCACTCGGTCCCTGGAAGGGTCTCCCTGCCCTATGCTAGTGTCTCACCTGCAGCAGACCTGGGGCAGCCTTGCCTCTTGCACTGCCCCTTAGCTCTGTGCATGTCAATAGCTGAGTTGGGACAGCTCACATCTTTGTTACTACTCCCCAATGAAGTGTGAGGCCTGAGTTTTCCTTTGGTTGGAGGCACTTGCCTGCTGTGGGATGGTCTCTCTGTATGCTATGAATATGTGTAGCTCTCATTGGTTGATAAATAAAGCTCTTTTGGCCAATAGCCAGGCAGAATAAGGTTAGGCTGTACATTCAAACTGAAGAGGGAGATGAAGAAGGGTGGAGTCGAGAGATGCCATCCATCCATCCATCCATCCATCCATCCAAGGAATGAGATGCCAGAGAACTGGTAAGCCATGGACCATGTGGCAATAAATAGATTATTAGAAATGGGTTAATTTAAATGTAAGAGCTAGCTAATAATAAGCCTGAACCATCATCCAAACATTTATAATTAATACAAGCCTCTGAGTGATTATTTGGAAGCGGCTGCAGAACGGGGGACAGAGGAAAGCCTCTGGTTACACTTGCCCACTCATTGGTTACAATGCCGCTGTCATTGGAGTCCTAACAACCTTTTTTTTACCATGCTGGTGGTTTATTTTAGGGCCTTCAATCGCCCGTTCACTATTCTGTTTCTGTTACTCAATTTCATTTCCACAGCATTAAGCTGTTAGTAAGCTCGCAAACTACCCTTCTCTGTGTAAATGTGAGTACTTCTTTTAATTGTGTAAGATACACAAAGCATGATTAATCACCAGGCCCATTTTCAGTGCTATTTGCTGCACTTGTGATGTTGTGCAGCCAGCCTCACTAGGCAGTTCCAGAACATTCTCACCCCACTTTAGGAAAGCAGATACCCATGAAGCATCCACTCCCACCATCCCTCAATCCCAGCCCCTGGCAAACAGCCTGCTTTCCATTTCTATGAAATGCCTTAATCTGGATACTTAAAATAAATAGAACTATACAAATGTGACCTTTTGTGTGCCTCTCTTCACTTGGCTCAGTACTTCCTGGTTGTTTTACCTGTGTTCGTAGCAGGTGCCAGGTTTCATTCCCTTTCTAGAGTGGAGAGACATTCTGTTGTACAGACATGCCACATTGTTGTGGACCTTTGGGTTTTTGTTTTTGTTTTTTCTACTTCTTGGCTTTGTTGATTGAGCTGCTGTGAACTCATGTTTTGGTTTGCACACCTGTTCTCAATTCTGTAAGGTATGTGCCTCTGAGTGCAATGGCCAGGCCACAGGGTAATTGTTTGCTTAACTTCTTGTGGAATGTGTTAGTCGAGTTCTCTGAGGACTAGAATCTGTAAAAGTAGATTGGATGTAAAAGGAACCTTTTAAATTGGCTTACACAGTGGGAGGCTGGCTGGCCCGTGGCTATATATATGCTGGAAAGCCGGAAGACCCAGGATCTACTCACCCCAAGAAGCTGGAAGCCTCAGAAAAAGAGGGACCGAGTTGACATGGTCCCAGTAGGAAGCTGAAGATCCGGAGGCTCCCCAGAGTCACTGATTTGAATCACTTCAAAAGCTAAAGGAGTCAGACATCCATGGGTGATGTAGCCACAGTAGAT